AGATTTAGAGAGATGCATAATGCATTAAAAAAGAAATATCCATTGGTAAGAAAACAATTTTTTTTACAAAAAATATTTAAATTGTTTCATTAAATTTTAATTTAAAAATTTCTATGACTTTAAATATGTAGAAGAGAATTATACACTTTTTTTTTTAATTGACTACTTTTTTATTCAAATAATACATTTTTTCTCAATAGATCAATCAATTGGTTTTTCCGCCAAGAAAATTTTTCCACAAAAATAAAAAAGTGGCATCTGAGAGACGAATGCTTTTAGAGGTAACTTCTACATGTTTTCCCCCTATTTTTCTATTGGCTAGACAGTATTAGATGCAGAAAACTTTTAATATATAAACTCTTTCAGTCATTTGGTTATCAGTAATACTATACATTTTTGTAGTTGATTTGGATATCCCATATTTCACAGCATTATCACCATTACATCTCATTGGCTACATTTGTCTTAACATTGTCATACAGGTCTTCAATACTTTGCTAACAACAGTCACATAGAGACTGGCCTATATTAGACTATCTCTAACAAGACTCAAATAAGAATCTTAAACTCTTATGTCAAGGCAGTCCTACTGTATGGTTCTGAAACATGGAGAACAACTGAAGCAACAACAAAAAAATACAGACCTTCATCAACAGATGACTGAGAAATATCTTTAAAAATACACTGGTATGACAAAATAGGAAACACCAAACTGTGGAAGATGAGGGGGGGGGGGGGGGGGGGAGACAGAGAAATATAGAGATGCAGATCTTGGAGACAGCGAAGATGGATTGTTCACACCCTTAGAAAAGATACCAACAACAGGCCTTAGAGTGGAACCCCCAATGTACAATATGCAGAGGAAAACCAAAAAGAACACAGTGTACAAGATGAAGCCAAGAGGATAGGAAAGAGCTGGGAAGCCGTTAAAAAACTAGAGAGTGGGGTGTTTTTTATTGAGGCTCTTTGTTCCACAAGAAACGCATAGAAAAGATAATGCTAATGATGATATTAAACCTAACTTTCCTGTCAAAGGTTTTTGAACTTACTGTACTGGTCTAGATACTAAACTTATTTTGAGTAGCACTGCCTCTTGATATACTTCCTTCTGACTACAAGAACCGTAGCATAGCACAAGTTGTCCTCCTGTTTTTTTTTTCTCTACAAAGCAGAAGTGAAGAGCAGACAACGACATGTTTGACCTCATACCTCCAAATGGTATTTCTTAAACATTGACTGTTTCTAACCAATTGTCTTTGTAGTTTGCCTACATTGTCCAAGTGAAACAATTTTTAGTGGCCCCGAAAGGGAAAAGACACTATTAGTTTTGTGTGGCCTGTCTGTCCTGTTAAGATCTCAGAAACTAGAAGAGAAAATGAAAATAGGACATCATGATATTTTAGATCTATTTCTAGATCTAGACTTAGATGTAGTTCTAGACCTAGACTTAGATCTTGAATCTAGATTTAGATCTAAAACTAGGTCTAGATCTAGCTAGATTTATGTCTGGTCTAGTTAGTATGACAATGAAGATATTAATTTGTATTTGCAAGGGGAAAGTCTTTTAGTCATTTGTACACAATTATAGCTTAAAGTAGGTAAAGTATTTTTTTTTCGTGCTGCCAATTTATCTAATTTTATTAGAAGCATAAATCTTTTTTTAGTTTCTCTTTATTACACGTAACATGTTATTAACTTTGAATGTATGGATAAGGATAATAATTATTATTTTAAAAATATAAGTGTACGCTAAATGAATATATAGAGATGCTGTGGCTGAGGGGTAAAATACTTAGAACTGAAAGTCCAGTGTTCAAATCCTGGTGAAGACTATGTGGACCACTTCGGGGACTGATTTTGAGTTTGTGTTTCCACTCAGACTGTCTTTATAACCTTGTTTTTTTACAGTTTCTCTAATTTATTTTCACTATTAGCTGATTAAAACTGGTACATACTAACATGTTGTTTTTTTTTAGGAATATGTGCGCCATGCTATAGAACTGTGTATGAGGATGCCAGAATGTCCACTCCACCCGTCTAAGAACAAACATTTAACAAAACAAGTTTTTATTGACTTTGAGCCATTTTTTCGCAGAGGGTTGTTTGAAACTGCTAGAAATTTAACCACATAGATATTCTGTTTCCTGGCTGGAGTTTTTGTTTTTTCACACTATTATTAATATAAAGAAATAAATATAAATTGATTGATAATTTGTATCTTTTTCAAATGGCATGAACAAAAACATTTTGTAAAAAAGAAAAACAGAACCCGAAACCTGACAGAGGTTGTGTGAATGGATGTGTACATGCTCAGGATGAGTTTGAGGAACTATTATTGCTGTGTTAATTCATATCTAATTTTGGCTGCATTATGAAATGTTTGTTCCAAGCAATGTTTTGTGTGAGTCTAATGAAACCATTCCAGAATCTTTGTGCCTTATAAGTCATTACATTTTTTTTTGGGCCTTCAAACTTACAAGAGACAACGTGCAGCACATTCATGAAAACATTTGTTCAATAGTTGTTTCCAAAGTGTAGATGTTATTCATCAAATCATTGGTAGATTTTATGGTACCATGCAAGAATGTAACCACAATTCATTATAGTGAGCCAATTAACTATTAAAAATATTTGATGAAATGTTATGCTATAGACTTATGTAAACTATTGTTAAAGAATCTCTCTATATGCATTGACAACTTGCTTTAAAACATGTGAGACTAATTAGATCCCAAACGTTGCTTTGTTAACAAATAGGAATCATTTGATTTGTTACATTTATCAATAGTTTGATGGATACCAAAAAAAATAAAATTTTCTGCCACAAGTCAACTCAATATAATGAAGTGTGACTGAAACAAAAAGACAACAACAAAAAAGGGAGACAATCATCTGTCCCATAGATCACAAGGTCTGAAATAGTTACTTTATTTTTACTTTACAGTTTTATCTTCTCAAACATCTTTTACTATAAATCAGTATTTATGTTATCCAGTAAATTTTCCTTGAAAACAAAACAAAATCGATTCTCAGTGGCTTAAAAGACCCAGATTCCTCAACTTACTGATCTAAGGGAAAATAGATATACTGCTAGCTATTATGTATATCATGGTATGTTCCAATGAATTATACCTGTGTTCATGTGCCTCAAATGTTCTTATAAAAGTTGTTTTTTTAATTGTTTCTGTGTTAAAACAGACATTTTGTTATACACTTTTTTGCTAAAGCTTTTGAATTGTGAACAGGTTGTGTGTAAGAAGTTTATTTCAAATAAACCACAAGTTACTTTTGATTTTTATTTAATCATTTGGTGTTCCTTGTTACTAAAGACATGGTAAGGGCTGTTTTGAAGTGTATTAACCCACCAGGTGAGAGAGAAAAGCTGTGGCTTTATATCTTTGTTTTCTCTTGTCAGCATGGACTGCCACAGCACTCTTGCCTAGAGGTATAAACAAGCGGTACTTACAACAGTGTAATTTGTGTCGTAGAAGTATTAGTTTTATTTGTATTTTATTCAGACAGTGATATCAATGGAATATGAGTGCAATATATTCTATATGTTAAGAGATCCTAGTCATTTGTGGACTAATACTAATGTCTTAAGCTATTGAATATAATTCTAAATAATGTGAACAATTATTTTTTTTAATGTTTGTTTTGCTTTTTAATATCATTTTAGAAAAAAACTTGTTAATCTTTATAATTTATCAAGAAAACATTTTTTAGGCCCAGTGGGATACAAAAAAATATGAGCGTCTGTTTTTTTTCATTAAATTCTTCTCTAATAGAAATATGTATCCTTTGAATAAACCAAGGCATTGGTTCCCAAAACTTACTTGCAGTTTATAGAGAAAGTTTATCTCTTTGTTTTTTGTGCAGTACTTATAGCTGGTGAACCAAAAGCCTCAATTTGGTTGCTTTGTGGTAGAAATGTGTATTAAGTCTAGTTGCTTTATTTTTATTAGAAAGATGACTAATATTGTTTTATGTACAGCCACATGCTCTGGATAGAAAAGGAAATATTTTTTGTTTTATTTCTCTTGGTGCTTGTTTGCCCTATTGTTACAATGCTAATTTATGAATATATTTTTGTTCACCCCCTCCCTTGGCTAGAATTCTTTTGTAGTCAGAATATAGTTACAACTGTTCAATAATCTCTTAGGTGTGTTGTGAAATGAATTTCATAACTACCAAAACTTTAATTTGCAGCCAAATTATTTGTACAATTTTTTCCTGTATCTATTAACCATGCTACAGCTAATGATATACATACAAGGTAATAACCAAGCATGACATTGTCTTGTATATGACAAGCTAGTCCTTTTCTCTTATGAACAAATGTAACTCTTTACTTATTGAAATCATTCTATCTAAAAAAATTATGCTTTAAAGGAAGAAAAGTAAACCAAGTTGACACATTAACTTCCTAGAAATGCTGTGCTAAACATGAGAGTGCTTGTAACTGGATATTTTAATGTGGTAGTTTTTTGTTTTAGTAACAGGTGTGGGGGTCAAGTTCAAGACTTAACCATTAGATTATTGATTTTAGTGTGGATCAATGTCTAGTTTTTATTTTTAGTGGATTGTTAAACATTTTAATTTTAAAAAATGTGATAATTAAGTGTTGTCCCTAATATGGCCTGGTATTTATCATTGCTATAAAAAGAGATTCTACTTATCACAAAACACTATTGTCTCTTATTTCACTTGCTATGTTATTATGATCACTAATTCAGATCTCACCAATATGTACATCTTTCTTTTCCTGGACCTTTAATAAATGAAAGAATAGCATCACTTTTTTTTGTTGTTGCTTTCAAAAAACTAAGAAAAAATATAATGTTACTAATGGCATACTCTAATTAAAAGTGACAAGTTTTGCTGAGAAAAAGAAAGTATTCATTGTTTTATTTCACAAACTAAATTTCCTTGATCCATTGAATATAAAGCAGCCGTGTTGAAATCCATATCACTAACATAACACAAAGATATAAAAACAAAAATGATTAAATCTTTTATTTGTTTTAGAATAAATAAAACCAATGTAAATATTTCAGTTTATTATATACGATAAATCAAAAAAAAAACCTGAAGTGTAAGTATTCTAAACATTCATTTATAAACCACAACAAAACATTCATTCATTGCTAATATATGTTTGTTAAATCACATCAACTAATTCATTCATTGCAAAATCAAAGAAAAAATTCCTTCTGTACATTCTCTTGGTTTCAAAATAAATGCATCAAGTAATGTGTGTTCCAGACTGTAAAACATAAGTCATTGTCCAGGCTTTAAAGTTATTAGCACACATGTTCCAAAAAAAAATAAAAAATGTACACAATATATTTGCCATAAAAAATATTAACACATTTACAATGACAAAAGGAGCTAAATATGTTAAACATAAAACAACAGATGGGGAAATTCAATAGAGTGTATTATTATCTATAAGAAGGAAGGAAAAAAAAACAAAACAACTGAATTACACATCAACAGGGAAGCTATTGATAAAACACTTTTCTTTGTTCAGGTTTTTTAAAAATTGACTTTTCTAGAATGTCTAATTACCGTGCACAGCAATTAAAAATTCAAACCAACTAAAGGATTTAACTAAGCTGACAAAATGCTAAGGAATTGTTTCATTCCTTTCAGTTCAAACCCATTGGGATTCAAACTGAAGTAAAGAAGAAGAAACAAATTCTAGAGTGTAGCTGAAACCTGGATAACTACTGTCCATAAATATTCAACTACATATAATAAGTCATACAGAAACACATAGTTTTATAAGCCACTTGAAACGAAAATGTTTTCTTAGGATTGTGCTTTTAAATGAAGAACCATTCATTTATATGAAACTTTGGACAAAGTTGTGAAACTAATCATACAGGAATGAAGCTTTAGACAAAAGTTGTGAAACTAACCAGAAATGTAAAGTCTAGCAAGCTATAAATATAAATGTGTTAAGTATTGAGTGTGTCCAGACAAGATTTCATCCTTTTCTGCTTTGGTACACTATAAGAATAACTTCAACCTCCCTTTGAAAACTAATAATTATGAGTATCTGGAGATCAAAGCAGTAGAGTGGATCTGAGATTTAATGGGTCAACAATTGTAACATGACAAGAAAAGTATATTATTTCAATCTAGATGAGCCTGTAAACATATGTATTCATATTATTTCAATCTAGATGAGCCTGTAAACATATGTATTCATTGCACTTCAGAAACAAGAAAAACACAAGAGAAGTAAATAGAAAACATTTCAGTAGTTCAACTGTACATTTTTGGCCTATTTACAAAGCATAAACAAAATATTAACATTGCTTAAAAAGTTATAGTTTGAAGAAGAACAACATGCCAAAGTAGATCATTTAAATAAGAGAAAACTGACTTGCAGTATTTGAAGTGTAAACCAAGAAAAACACAATCTCACACTAAATCTGTCTGATTGGGGAAAACAGAATTTTCAGATATTTAATGTATAAGTCAATGAAGTATTTGAAGCTGGACAAAGATACTTGAAAAACTATGAAATGAAATAATTCAGAGACTGGCTATGTACACATTGCAGGAAGTTTTGTTTATGGTGCTATACATGATGGCACTTAATGTTTCAAGAAACAGACCTTGATATAACAAAACCTTTGCTAATAAGTAGCCCTTTCTTTTTTTTATCCCATGGAAGTTTGTATATGTATAGGTTATGTATTTTTTTATCTAAAAATATTTAAATTATGAACAAAATATTTAATTTTAATCTGAAACCATGGCCCTGGCGTTGAAAGGGTTAGTTCAGACATGTTGGCCACAGAAACAAGTTACCTTACCAGCCTCAAGAAGTTATCACTATAAAACCAACAGCTACATAAAAAGAAAATATTATGTAAGTAAAGAATGTAAGTTTATTTTTCAGTTAATACATTAATGTGTATATTAAGAGACTTTATTATCACTCAGCTTTTCAATGTAAGTTTGTCAGAAACAAAAACAACAATTCATAAACATGAGAAGAACAATCTCTCTTCAAAATATGCTCCGCTGGACATCATTCCTACATTAAATACAGTGACACAAATAGTTAAGAATGCTGAGTGTTAAGTGTTTCTGGGTTATGTCATATCACTAACATCAACACAGGAGAACTGACAGGATCCTTTCAATGAACACTAATATCAAAACATGTGTATCTTTAGTCCACATATAACAATATCAACATAGTTTTAACCAAAACAATCACCATCACTGTCTGTGCCTATCCCATCAGAAAACAACAACAAAAAAAAAAAAAAAAAAAAAAAAAAAAAAAAAAAAAAAGAACCTGTGCTACTTTTAAAACCGTAGCCTCCATCATCTCTTCCCTCCCTCTGCTGCCGCTGGCCGGTGCTGGCCATGAGCTGAATTGCTCTCAATGACATTGTGCAGGGCATTAGGAGTCAGCCATTCTTTGGGGATGGCTCTCTCCAGAAATGGTATACAGGAACTTACGTAGGCCAGGCGATTTACCCAGCTGGGGAGCTCTTTACCACACAGTATCTAGAGAGAAAAAAAAAGGCTGGTTATTTAAAACTCTACAGTTAACTATCTAAACAACTATTATATGGGGAGATTTGCATTGGAAGCCATTCAAAAGTTAGACAACATACATGAGTTAAGAGTTGGAGCTAAAGCCAGGCCCCATGAATACCTATGGCCATCGAATAGTATTTCTCAATGGTCAAGACCTTTCTATTGTTTTTTTCGCTCACATTGTGTAATTATATGTCAGACCTCTGACACTTTATATTCGGGACTAAGTGGCAGAAAACTGAGCACCCCCGTGGAAAACTTCTTTATACCAGTATTTCTATTATGTTCAATGGAAGGACAGCATTTTCAGACTGGGCTAATAGTCCCTGTTGAATCCCCTCCCTGGGTTTCAGAGGCAGGTGCAATGAATGGGACAGATGAATATGAAGGAGGTTCAAGACAGTGACAGAGATGAACTTCAAGACAAAACAGGAAGAACTTCAAGATAAAGACAGAGATGAACTTTAAGACAGTGAAAGAGATGAATTTCAAGACAAAGACACTGATGAACTTCAAGACAAAGACAGAGATGAACTTTAAGACAGTGACAGAGATGAAGTATAAAGGAGTTTCAACAAACCTGTACAAGTGCTGAAGTAAAATGATTGCAGTTTTTGTTTAACAGGTGGTACTGGTCCCCTCGAAACTCTTTGCCTAACTCTTCTGTTATTTTTCTGACATCATCAGGAGTAAAGTCTGTGTGACCAACACAAATTGCTTCTCTGAAGAATAATCAAAGTAACACGAGAATGCATGAGCAATCTTAGATATTTCTTTTCTTGAATCAGCAATATACTTAAAATGAGGAGCATAGAAGTTTTAATAGATGTGAATCAAATCAGCTCATAACAATGACTTCATTATCTACAATAGCAATTACAAACAAAAATATAGGTTAACACATAAAAAGTTTTTCTACTGACAAGTACCACACTTCCTTCATATGCAAGTTCCCTACACATAGTTGCAAATATAAACATAGGCTTAATATACATTGAAATAAAAAGAAAAACTAACTTAAACTTAAATTGTTCTCCAAGATCATCTGCATCCCTTGGCTCAATTTCGAAGACACCAGATAGTGGGAGAGGATGTCCACCATAAGCATATTCTGAAACAAGAAAATTCAGTGATGTTTTTGATGCATATTTTTAAAATTCTGCTCTGCAATATAAATCACTTCCACTTACAAGAATAGACTACAAATAAAACAAGACATACCTGTTCCATAGACCTGTACCCCGGAATGAAATACACCTATACCTAGTGAAGATGTGTATTCATTGATCCAATACTGAAAAAAAAAAAAGAAACTTTAGAGATTATTATTCATAACAAATATATTTTTATTTATATTTATATTATATTATGTTTTTTTTACATCACAAGCTAAGTCTTTTTTCAGTTTTGAGTATAGATTTAGTAACTTTGTACTGCTAGTTGATGATATGCTAACTAATGTCAAAAACATAAACTTAAACTCTATGGCCATATCACAAGATCCTCAGCGCTCACAAAAATCTTCATTCAGGGAACAGTACCAGGAAAAAAAAAGAAGAGGCAGACAGAGAAAGTGATGGAAAGACAACATAAAAGAATGGACAGGTCTGTCAGTGAAATTTTTTTTTATCTAGGGCAAAAGACAGAGATGAATGGAGAAAGATGGTCAACAGATCTTGTGTGGTGCCAAACAGTTCAACAGACTAAGGTATAGGTGAAGGTAGGGCTAGTCTGATAATTGCAGAGTAGATGTGTGTCATCTCAGGATAAGTCTGGAAATCAAAATAAAACAGTAGAACATGTTTTTTTTGTTGAACATTCTAGAGATGTATAGAGCTAACAAGTGCAATAAAAACAGCATTCTAGTTTAAAAGAAGCATTCAAACAGACACATGACACAGAGATTATATTTCTATCTACTATCTAACAGACACTACCATACTCTTTTTTTTAAGGCAAAGTTATCTATTGTTTTTTTATTGAAGAAGACAGCTTTTTTATTTAAACTATGGATCATCAATTTTTTTTTAACTTAACAAATTTATTAAATTACAATAAAAATACAAACAATGAATTTAGAGATAACATAAATCTAGCATAATCTTCTAGTCATTATCTGAAACAGTACAAAGCATTCATTGTTGTCACATTATATACCATTTCGATTACTGACTTACCATATCATAGACATTGAGAATAACAGGTTCTTGTGCCATTCTAGTGGAATATAATCAGCGTGAACAACAATCAGGAGAAACACATGAGAAGTAGAAACACAGGAATTATTCACTTTGTAGCGTTGATCCAATAAGGCTGCAAAGACATCATCATGGAGCGAATTTCTGTGAAAAATATAAATATAGAGACTGTCTGAAATAAATTATATAAATGGTGTCCGGAATCAAATAATGTGGGTCCAATTTGTCTGAATTAAATGAAAACACATGGCCTCTTTGACCTTAAATATAATAACAAATATAGGTTAGGGATACAAATATAAGTAGTCATCCTTATTCTCCTTAAACTAAAGAAGACTTTGATACTTCATTGTCTTTTCTAGATTTATGTTGTCAAATGTCAAAAAATGATATAATGCGCTGTCAAAGTCAAACTTAGAAATTTTGGCATATAGCCTATAGTTATAGTGGTTATAGACTATCGTGTATATAGATCTAACTATATTACTATAGGTAATATAATTAGTTAAATTAGGTGTCCGAATAACAAATAAACTTAGATTTTAGACCTACTCTAATGACTCTATCTAGAGATCTGGATATTATAATATAGTATAGTAAATAGTATTTACCTAAGTTAAAAATAACCCATTCTGAGAAATAGTTATGAATATTTATAGACTATAAACATTAAAACACAATACATCTCTGTACATTGCTTTAGCAGCTGACTGGGGTCTTAACTCTAGACTCCAGGCCAATTGCCTTATTATAACAGTAGGGAGTAGGTTATGGGAAAAGTCAGCAAAGTGTGAAAGTCGTAACTTCCGATGAGTCATATTCCGAAACTGTCGAAAGAAAACGAATAACGTTTTGTAGTTTTTTTTTTTATATAGATCTACTATCTAGATCTAAATCATAAATCTAGAGTTGACAATTAATTAAACAAATCACAGCTTAGATTCTTATTAAATTCTTTAATAGACCGATTATAATACCCTTCAAGAATTTTAAAATTATAGAAAACTCATCTACAACTACCACACATCTAGAGAATGTTGTTTATAGAAAGCTAGGAAGTTAAAAAAAAATCATTAGAGTGCGAAACTACACAGAGCAAATTACTGATGATCCGTAGAAAGCCAGTTTCCAAACTTCATGATCTGACTCCTCCGTAAGCAAAAAGAGGATGTCCTTAGGCAGTGGCGTCACTAGCGGGCTGCGGTCCGCACCGGGTGACACCCACTAGGGGGTGACACCCGACAGGGACAAAAAATATTAGCAAAAACTAGAAAATAAAAACCCGAATGGAAAAACTGAATATCGGCGAAAACTAGCAAATCAAACATAAAAAATAGATGTCAAGATATATACCCAAATATGCCTGTATTTATCTAAATCTATTTATTTTATTTTAGGCCCTATTGTAGGCTAGGCCTACATATATTTCTTTTGGTATAAATGTCCAACAAGTGACGTAATAACAGGGGCGGGGGGTGCAAAGGTAGTCTTTTTTTTAAGAACCAAAATTGATTGCATTTGCATAGTTATTTTATATTTTAGTAATAATTAGGCGAAAGCGAGTTTATTACAAAAGTTTAAGAAAAATTAAATTATTAATTATTTGACGACGTTTTATCGTCCAAGTAGAACTTTTCTACGTTAGTAGCAAAATCGATTCAAAAGGCTATTTTAAAGAAAATATTTTAATGCATCTTCATCGTGGATCTAGAGTCTATCCCGTTTTTACGTCAGTACGAACCAATTTCTTCCGACCAACGTACCATCGTACTATTGACGTTTTTTGCGTGAACAGACCAGCTACAAGACACCTTCTAAAGATGAGGATGATCTTAGTTACGACAACAAGCCCATTATAAACTCGCATAAACTACTGCAGCTTTCCTCACGCTGTGGTGGTGCCACCCGTATGAGATGGGGGTGGTGATGTTCTCTCATGAGAGCGCGACGTCCTAACCAATGAGGAGGGGGTGAAGCAATTCAAAATATTTAACACGGGTAAAATTTTAAAGTTATCTGTTCATTGTAGTTATCAAGGTAATTTTTCTTTTCTTTTTTTTTTTTTGACTACCATTAAATGTATACCATTTTTTTGTGTGTGTGAGGCTTCTGCCAAAACATCGATTAAAAACTTTTTGAAGAAGACATTTCAAAACTGCTGACGTGATTCTTTTTGAATGGTCAGAAAAGTCCATATTCTCTCAAGTGTTTAACATCATTATGTTGACGCCTAGCTTCTTTTTGCGACAAAAACGACAAGTTCGTGGCAAGGATTCTTACTGAACACGAAGATGATCTTAAGACATGTACCTCGAACATCCCTCGTATAATAGTATTGGCCAATGTTGTCTCCTTCTTTATTGGACTTAATTTGAGCACCTTTTTTTTAAAAGTAGTATAAATATTGCTCTCATTATCGGAACGCCCTACTCCGTTATAATTTAACACTGACATGGGCACTTCCTACTACTGGAAAGAATAATACGTTGAAGACGACACAAGCTGAGAATGAAGGAAAACGCTTGGAGTAACTA